ACATACATTCATGCATACCTCCTGCACACATGCATATATCGTTTATCTCTGCTCAATGTATTTTAGCTTTCTGATGCCGCAATAAAAACAAACCCAAGCAGGAATGCACCAGGCTTGCTGTTGCAATCATGCGTTTTTGCTCCATACTTGAAGTACTCAGGTCATTAATTACACGAATGGTTGTTGCTTTACACCTACCTTTTGCGCTTATCGACGTAAATCACCATAAATTTTAAAAAAAGTAAATGAACAATTTCCATTTAACGGTCGTTATCTGAAAGCAATCTAGCTTTTCAGCGAGCAAATTTCTCACCAAAACTTTCAAGCACCCATACATGAGAACCACGCATAATTAGGAGTTGAATTTGTAACATTTAAGTTGTATTTGAACGGGGAACATTCCCCTAAAATTTCAGCTTTCTAGCTTTTATGACTCTCGGGTTAGTGATTTTCCCGCCAAAACTTTCATGCGACCCTACGTGAGTACCACGCGGCCCCTTACCTTAGTCTGGTTCTCGAGGTCGCTTCCCCGCCAAAAAATCTGCATATTTTTTTAAGACGTCTGTACGCGGCACCCAGGCGTAGAGGGACGGTGATATTAAAAGGGAAGGGTCGCGCATGGTGTGGACACATACTTCCAGAGTTTCAGCCTTCTACCTTTTCTGGTCCCTGATTGAAATTGAGTGAGAAAAAGTACGGACATACAGACACATGCACAGCTTCTTTCCAATATGCGTTTTTGCAATTTGCATATATGCAAAAACGCATAAAAAAACGCATGAAATAGGTAAAACACTGCATATTAATAAAGTTCGCCAGCGAATCTTATGCTTTTTTATTAGCGCCACATTCTTCTTGCCAAATTACAGTCTGGATTTTGCGTCCCTTGGCCTGACATATCGCCTTCCAGTCTCCAGTTAATTTTAGCTTTTCGCTTGGCTTTTGCGTAATGATTCTGGCTGCTGCATTTTTGTACGTTAATCACAGCGCTGCAGCTCTTGCTCTTCTAAAAGCTTTACACAGTCATATTTTTTAGCCAGCCCGACAATTTTTACAACCGCTGATGCAGATGAAGCCATTCTTCCTATTTTGCGCTGAACGTACGAGTGTTCGATGCATGTGTCTCTAATGTATTGTGTGTGACTTTTCGTGATCGAATTTAGCATCGTTCTGCCCGTTTTCTGCTTCTTAGGACAGTTTTATATTCATAATTATTATATTCTTTATTTTTTCACAAAAGTCGAGGTGCGCTTCCCAAGCTCACGGAACATTTGGTGTGGATCTGTGATTTTTTCTCTGGAATTTTATTAAAAGTGAAAATGGGTATGATGCAGCAGTACATGATGCCTTCTCTGCCTCTGTCTCTCTATCGGCACCGCGGTACGTTTTGGAAGCCCCGCATGGTTCATGCAAATTAGTCCCTCTAAAGTCACACTAATCGGACTATGTATGCGCTTCAGCCGTGCTTGTGTTGATGCGAGGAAACGTATCATCTGTACCGGAGTGTACATGCATGTCATTTGCTGCCAGCATGACTGTATGGATTGTGCTGTATTCAACGATGAATTCACTGCTTTTCGCAACTTTTTGAAAGGTGTACAGGCTGGGATGCGAAACGTAAAGGTAGTAGCTGGTGGAGGAGGTGCAAGTGGTGCTGATGGTGCAATTGCTGATTGCTGAATCACCGAACTCATGAAAAGAAGCGCAGGATTTTTCTTTTTTTTTTTTTTGAACAGAGACTGCTTTCATCGTTTCAGAAGGGCACAACAAGCAACCTCCGTTCACTGGTGAAATTTCTTCAGCTAATATGCGAGCACAGCTTCTCGTCCAAGCTTCTAACAATTTCTTGAATAAATGCTGCTGCACTGCACCTCCACAGATGTTACTTTGATACAAAGTCATCACCTTTCACGCATTTATCCGATGGACGATAAAAGTATGAATGGTTATAGCATCACCGAACACATCCCGCTGCATCATCAAGACACGGCAAATCGTCCTACATCCATAAGCAGTTCCAATATTCAAGCTGCCAATGATTTTGTTTCTGTTTTTGATGGAATACTGCTTCAGGATTCTCCATGCAGTAATACTTCGCTCTCATCACCAGACCATCCAGAGAATTGTTGCCTCTGTAGCCTCTCTCAGTCGGATTTCTTTAATCCGTTGGACACACTCGTGTCTTCCGTTGCTTTCTCTTCTGACAGTAACAAGGTGCAGCATAAGTCACAGTATGGAGAAAATCGTGACTTCGATTTTGACGAAGAGAGCTGTTACAGTGAGGACAGTAGGCAGAGTGATGTGGAGCTTGCTCAAAAATCGAAAATGCCTGTACAGTGCCGTCAGGTTGGCAAGGCAATACGAAAGAAATCACAAAATTACCTCCGAGTTCTCTCAAATTATGCTTCTTTGGGAAAATGTGAGATTTGTTGTTTTGATTCGTTTGCTAATTTCCTTGCCACTGAAAATCGCTATGCAGCCACTGTGTGATCGTTGTGCACGTTCCAGTAATTCCCACCACTTTTCCATTAATTTTTACTCATAACTACAATTACTTTCTAATGATCGTTGTTAGCGCCGGTACTTTGCGTCAGCATTATTGTTCTGTTAACATCATTAAAGCTAATTCATAACTATTGCCAGCACACTGCTCTGCTATCATCATTTCCATTACTGTTCCATCTCGATTACCAACCTCTTCATTGCAACAGTATCATTAACATTACAAATTCTCTTCTGCACTTCAGTATCATTATCATTACAGTTCCCTTTACTGTTACTTCACCATCTATGCCCTCACCCTTCTTTTGCTACGGCAGTATCATTACCAATATCGTCAGCACCATCATCATAATTATTTACATTATCGTCATCATCATAGTTGCTAATTCATTGATCAATTGCTGGACTGCTTTGCGCCGAAACCATAACCGTAACAACCGAGTTTTTTGTTTCAAGATTAGTTCAACATTTATTTGGTGATTGGCCAAGAGCGAATATAAGAATTTTGGGAAACTCTTGTGTTTGACAGAGCTCACTGTTACGAAGCAAACTGTTTTACCAGTAAATGCAAAATCTGTTAATGATTTTTCAGTTCTCCCGAATAGCACATTCAGCTGGTCTAGCACTGCGTTGGCTTGGTTGACACTGGGCAGCTTGGCTTCTCTTATTTCCTCCAAAACAGTATTTGCTTACAATCCTAGACTCATCATCCCATTTTCCAAAATTTTCTTCTGAGAGTTCTGAGTTTCTGTGAGTTAAAACTGTCATGCAGAATGCAATATTTCCATACAGATGGCATTTTTTGATGAGATTTCCAAACAAGGAATTTTCTGTGCCTTGTGATTTGACAGTATTTTCCTGTAGCAAGAGTGAATTCCGTAACTTTTTGCTAAGAAGCGAGCGAACATTTGGACCTTCTAAATCAGAAGCGATTTGTCTGATTCGAGCACTGGTCCGCAGCGTTTGAGCAGTTACTCTGATCAGGTAGATAAATCGAAGCAGCGACTAGCAAACTGCACTTCATGCAAATCAAAAAATGCAGTTGCCATTTTTAGTTTTTGAGGGTTACGCCTGGTTTAACTGCAGCTTGTGTAACGAGGTGGAATGTTTTGGTGTTGAATGGTCCAGATAAATTTAATTACCTAACCATCGAAGAGCTGGTTTTTTGTGAAAGCAGAAAATTGTGTCAAAAAACAAGAAAAAAAAAA